CTATAAAGTAGAAGCTTTGTATTGAAGAGCTATGTTAAATAATACGATTCAATTGTATTATTTAACATAAAGAGTAATATAAAATTACTAAAATTCTTGTTATTAAAATTAGTAGGCCTAATGTTTTCCATATAAATGTATTACTATTGGTTATGCCATACAGTATATTCATTGTTGTGTTATCATTATTTGATAGCTCCTGTGTTCAATAATTGCCCATACATGGAGGCTCACCCGAGAGAACCTCTGTGGATTGATTTTCCAAATTGATTATCAATGACAACATGCTACAGAATCGGGGATTGGGGGCGTAATAGTTTAATTGGGTTATTTAACGCCCGTGGGGAGGCAGAATGGCACAAGATTAGGTCTATGAATAGATGGTATTTTTGTTGTATTAATGATGTTAGTTGGAGTATGATACATGTGTATGGATGGCTTGAATAAATGTACATCCTGTGTAGTTTTAATTTAGTACTTAATAGATTTAGGCTTATATGACTACGTTCTATAGGTTTAGGTCTAGTGTTTTTTTAATTTTATTTCATTTTATTTAGGTAACGGTAAATATTAGCATTAAGCTTATGTTTGAGTTAGGATGAGAATTTTGTTGAAAGCTAATGATATGTTAAGGAACGGTGTTAAACATCTGATACACAACCACAGGTCCTATACCAATAATTTAACATAATATTTTGTAATATTAACGACTGACATTGTCCTTATTGTTTTTATAAATTATTTAGTAACTCTGTTTTATTTAGGTCAATATTCGTTATCTAAAGATTTGGTATAACTAAAATGATTTAATATTACATAATTATATAAATAATGGCCTAGACCAATTCGTTATCAAATCATAACGTGAAACAATTTTTAATAGATTTATTTTGCGAGCAATATTTCTAAATTTTAAGCCACGATATCTTGAGATGTATTGTAGTCTAATGTCGGTGTTGGTCTAAAAAATGGTACGGTAATTATAATCGCTTCTATGTCATTGTTTAAACACCTGGATCCAAATTTTGACATATCGTGTTGTATTGTCGAGAATAAATATGACTAGATTCCTTGATTTATTTATATCATCATGTTCCCAAATATGCCAATAAAACTTAGTAGCCTACATACTAGGAATTTATGTTGATTTAACTATGGATTCCTCCATGGTTTAACCATGATTTAACTCATTTGCTATTAAGTTTTGAAAACGCATGCATTGTGTTTCCTTTCTCCTCAACGTCACAAGGAGTTCCCGCGGAGCGAGTCTTAAATGAATATCAGTTTCGTAGCCTCAAGAAAACCGAGAACAAGTTAACAAAAACAATCTGATTCATAGGTCAATATTAGAAACCAAGATCCAATTTTAAAAACAAATTTGCCTCTCTTCGTCATGGATACGATGTGCAGTTTTGTCAACGCAAGACATGTATTGACATTCTGCCATTAATTATTAATGGACGCCTACAGAGATACTTCAGTATTAAACATAACTTGTACCTATCATGAAAATACTACATAACCGGGTCCCGATAATAGACTCAGATTCATACTATCATTATTATAAACACTTGGATGTTTAGATTTTAACATTATTAACATAATAAATAAACTCACTTTGAAAACAGTATTCGTGTCATTAGGTACTGTTTTCTTCGTTAAGTATAATGACATAAGTCCTAAAGATACAGTCAACATTTAGCTAATAGATTCATAATGGTTCAGGTACAGTACTACTGTAAGGCATTTTCCTCTAGGTAAGTTCATTATATATGATATGGATATTAATAAGAGATGATTGTGTGATTGATAATACTTATAACAAGACAGGAAACACATTACAGTAAAGAAAAATAGAGAAGAAGTTTTTTCGATTCCCGAAGTTTGATATTCAAATCAAACAGAGCGCCAATTGCCATATAATTTATTGTGTTTGGTTTGTCGATCCGGCTTTAACAGTGTACTTGATCGTAACTTGTGTTGAATATTTCTGGATATAGTCTTTAAATTTATTTCAATCTTGATCTCGAACTTGGTATTATTTTGTTTTCTTACTTGATTGTGGTCTGGAACTTGACATACATATTAACTTATGCTGGCATTAATAACCATGTTGACTTGGATCATTTGACCTCGTTCAAATTGAATCACATTGAATTTTTCCGTATTTGCACATTGATCTGGAACTTGACATTACTTACTTATGCGATCCTCCTCTTCTACATCTAATCGTGGAGTCGAAAACCTGTTCAGTACTAAAGAGCATACTTAGGTGTTCGATAAGTTTCTCTTTCGATTATGTAATTGTTTTGGGTTGCCTAAATTTAATGTTGCAAAAATATGGGTTACAATAGTAAAGCCTCTAATGGAGTATGCAGCAAACATCTTTTTGGTAAGAGGGATAAAAATACCAAATTGGACTGTTTATGAGCTAAACAAACAGCTTAGATGTACGTTTTATATCGCTATTTAATTAAAAAAAGAAAATGCAGGTAGTGGACCAGTTTTATGGAATACCGTAGTTTAAGTAACGAAATAAAAAATTCAAATAATTGTAGAAACAGGATCCTCTATCAGCCTATGCATAATTACATTTGAATGATTTTAAAATATGATAATATTATATGATGATAATTATAATTTAAATAAAATAGCAACTAGCAAATAACAATTGCATTTTATTTATTTTTTATTCACTTTTTATAGGTTAGGTTAGATAGAGGTGGTTGTTTGAGAACACCGTTTGCACCAGCTCCTTTAGTTTCTTTGGTGTTTCATTTCCAATTCACTATTATTTTATTTGTATTTGTATGTTTCAAGGGTGAATAAATTAATTGAATTTTGAATTTCCATGGCCCTCTGCAAACATAACCGATATAGGGCCTATCGGATATATTGACTGTATATAGGCCTATGTCTCTGAATGGAATGACATTAGACGCAACTGTTTTATTAATGATATTGTCATTGTACTTTGTATATGTCTACATTAATTATTTTCATTTTTGCTTAATTGATCCCCTCTGTTAAATAACTATAAATAAAACATTGCTAAAAGAGTGTGGAATTGTTATTTAAATTACAATTGAAGCTATTTGTATTTTAAGATCTCAGTGACCTTTAAGATTAGCGGAAATGGTAATCATCATTATTAATGTTTTTATTTTAATGTAGGTTATTCAGGTAATTAAAGTTTCATTGGAATGATTTGTTTTGAACGTTATAAGCCTACGTGTTATTACATATCAGCAAATTGACAACAATTTACTGATCTCTCATGCGAGTTATCTCAGTTCGACTTATCTCTCATCTCTCGAATATTACCCAAGAATGAAAAAAAAAAGGAATAACCGGAGGATACACTGCTTAAAATTGCTGTCATTGTATCAAGTTCATTTTTAATAATATTTGTCTCAGAAGAATACATTACTTCGATCGATGATGTTCATAATTGCATTGTATATTCATACTTACTATGGAACGCCCAGACAGTGAAAATAAATGCTTCGATTACGATCTTCGTATCATAGACATACTTTTATTTAGTTTTCCTCATGCTTACATTGTGCTGCCTCTCGCATTGTTTTCTCGACTTAATTATTATATGTTATGACAAATCAACTGTATTTTAATTGTTTTATTTATGTATTTTCTACGATATCACATTCACTACATGAGTTTCTACTATGCTTTTGTTATACATTCTGCATCATTGATCAATTGTATGTACAGTACTTTGCGCAATTACAGACAACACTATTAAAATTATTTAAGGTGCATGGATTATGCATTCGATAAGTTCATCATTGATGGTGTTTGTTATGTGTTGTATTGATTAGTCTAAATTTTGAGGAAAAAATAATATAATCGTTTATTTTTAACCGATAGGAGATGCTAAACATAAGGAATTAGTGAATGCGATGAACGGCCGTCGTTTGAAATGGATGCTAAAGTGGTATATATCATTTCTATTGCTGTAACTTCCGTCGGCATATTAGCAAGTGCAGATTATGGAGGTAAGCACTTAAGAATAGTATATATGTGGTTCTACCACTAATGAGTGAGCAACATAGTTCATGTTGACGTTAAACACAGTTCACTGTGTTTAATACAACACGGTTAACTTCGGAAAGGTGCATAGGATTTTCTCAGTCTTGGGGTATTGCCCTGTTCACCAACAAACCTAACTAGAAATGTCTTTACACTTTTACAATTAAATATGAACAAAAACTAGTTTACCAATTAGGCTAAACTAAACCAAACCAAGAGTTTCTTATGAAATCAACTTTAAATTCAAGTGAAGATAATTTAAATTGACAATCCTTCTTACCCGAATTGTATGGTTTTTATAATTGGTTGACTGTTTTCTTCAGATGATACATCAAATGAACGGCTACATAGACAGCGAAGGCAGACCGGTGCCGGAGGAGCCTATTCTTCAAGTGAGATCTATGTATTTTTTTTATTTATGTATCATAAATAATCATAATAAGGCTATTATTAGTTTCATATGATTTTATTAATAATATATTTAATAATAATAATATAAAGAGTAATGGTAATGATGGTGGTGTTAATTAATAGGGATGATAATTAAGTTCACTGATTGGCATACCTTGGCACTCGTGCCTAAAGAAATGAAATGAAATAATGATGATAGTGATAATGATGATGATGATGGTGGTGGTGGTGATGAGGATGGTGATAACGATGACAATGTTGATGATAATAAAGTTTCCATAAATTATTAAGCACTTCATTAGCAATTGGTAATTGAAAACAGTAGAGTACATAATGTTTAACTTCTTCCAATACAGCGAAGAGCTCATTCGTATCCCACCAGGTATTTAATTACATAAAGTGGTTGATGGAGTGAGACAAATGTGTCTTGTTGAAAGTCACAAACATTAGGAACAGCACAGCATGCGATTTGAACTTCCGAACTAATAATTGAGTTTCCTAACTCAAAATAGGCTCAGTGTACCATTTACTACAGAGTATCATATGTGTATTGTCCTCTAAAAATCGCCAAAAAAAAATCATTTTTGAACTTAACTTGCTTATGCTGAAGTAGCCTAATGTTAATTTTGATTTTTATACTACCCGATAATGGTAAAAATCAAAGAAACATTTCTTTTCACTTTCTATCAATTTTACCATTTTCGTGGTAAATTCCTGAGTAATGTTTTTTTAAATCGACTAATTTCTTTGTTCAAGTTAGTAAACATAAGTTAATTCACAATGAGCAAATGAATTTAAAAATTGGTGTATATTAATTTTTGCTATTTTCAGGAGACAATACGTAAGTCAAATGATAATAATTAAAAAAAAACGCACCAAAAAATTACGACAAACCAATCAATAAAATATGTTTAGGAGAAAACACAAGTATATTGATAAAAGACAGCTATAATATGGTACGTGTTGAAAACAATTCATCTTCACGATGATATCTCAATTGATCAGTTGATCAGTCTAGAGTGACCACGTCACGCCTACGCAATGGTAAAAAATCGAAATGACGCTCTAATTTTAGGTGACATGTGTATTTATTTATTTCATAATAAAAAAACATTGAAATGTCCTGTTGCGTAAATTTTTAGTTTAATTTTGATATCGCGTCTCTGTGTCAAAATGTAATAAGTTGTGCGTTCCATATTGCTTATTACTGCTTTTATATTGAAACCCGCACGCAATTGAATAATTTCCTGATATATTGTGGTGAATAATCTATTAATGGCCAAGCTAATTTTGGATAAATTATCAAGTACAACGTACGTGAAATTTGTTTTCTAATGTTAATATACCGTACTGTAACAGCAACCGATGATAAACTGATAGTTGTTACTAAGAACACAATACAGAATTACACCATTGTCAGCAGGGGTGGCGCTAGCGGGGGGCCGCCAGCGGGGGGCCGGCGGCCAGAGCTCCCCTGTCGGGGAGAGCTACTCACCCCGCCCCCCCCCCTCCGTCGCGGAGAAAAAGCACAATTCGTCGGGGAGAAACAAAATTATATGTATTTTCTACATATTAGTAGACTCTAAAATCGATTAAATAAGCCTTTGATAAGCCCCTGGACCACTTTCGAAACCTTTTAATCGAAGCTCGACCACGCCCACATTGCTTTCGCCGGGAAATCGCCCACCCCCACCGCCGTCGTGGACCTCGGCCCCCCCGTCGGGCAAATCCTGGCGCCACCCCTGATTGTCAGTCATACGCTCATAAAATTCTCGTAATTCGGTCAATATTTTTACTCAGTACGTATGTGTGAGTTTAGTTAAATAGTACGTGCAGGCATCTCAAACTTCATTTGGGAGTACTGCTCATTATTTTATTAAACAAGCCAGGTTGATGAGTGAGTGCCCATGTAAAATTACCAAGATGAACCATGTGTACTATGATTGTGAAAGGTATTAAATGACGTCATTTCAGGTGGAACATTTGCTTGGTGGAAGATTGTTCTTGTGGTAGGTGGCGGGCTTGCTGGAATGGAAATTTTATACTGCTGTTGTAAGAACTATTTACGCAAGCAGGGAGCTGATTCTGACGAGAAAAATAAAGTACAAAAAGGAAATGACAATCGATCGGAGAGCTCAAAAAATACAAACCAACAAACCGCCAATCACATTCGCAAGAATAATAGTTTTGTTGAGGCAATGGCACCGCAAGGATATTCAACGCTACGCGAGAATATGAGCCCTAGCCATGAATATTATTACTCTTCAATACCAACTCTAGCAAGTAAGCAGACCTCGTACACACAACAGCAAAACACATTCTACGTAGATCAGCCACCGCCAGGAAATTTTCAGTATACACATCACATGATATCTGAAACAGACAGTCCAACCACCCATTGGGGTCGCAAGATGCACCCATTGTTAGGGGCATCAACATTTGTCTGAGAGTTAGTATTTGATGAAGATTTTATATAAGCATTAATTATTATTAATGAGAATAATTATTATTAGTCTGACTTTTCAGTATTTCCTTGTTTATATAATATTTAAATATTAAATTATTTTTTACAAAACTGAGTATGCATGAAACACAATCATCATCATGATCACCATGACATTGGTAGTTATCAGCACTGGTATTACAATTAGGTTGGTAATTATTGTCATTGGTATTTCTTATAATGATAGTTATCACCGTTATACTTTATTGAAAAGTATTATCACTGGTAGTATCACTTTTATATTGGTAGGCCTTATCGCCATTGGTAGTTACCACATTAATGGTAATTACTGTATCACCATTATACTTACAGTTATCATATTATTGGTAGGCCCTATTAATCAAAAGCGTAACACAATTATTACTATGACACAGATAAACTTTAACTTTAAAAATGAAAGCGACCATGCCAGTGAACTTTAACATTAAAGACAATAGTTTTTACCATGCTATTGATAGTTGTTATAAAAGAGTATACACTAAGTTATAAACGGTGCCAAGATCAATTGATTATTGATAGTTTTAATACAAAAATAAAGATTGGATTCGTAGAAAGTGTAAACGATGATCAAAGTGATTTTAATTGTAGTTCGAGACACTCTATACGATATACAGTATCAATATCATTATGACAAACATATGTTTGTCATAATGATATTGATACTGTAGTATCACTATGCAAATGATGGTAATCATAAAAAGATGGACTCTTTGAGTGTAAACGATGATCAACGTGATTTTAATTGTAGTCCAAGATACTGTATGCAGTATAATATATATATTTGTCATAATTATATTAATAGTTATCATAAATATTGTAATTATCACTATGAAAATGATGATACAGTAATCAAAAAAGTGATAGGCCTAATTATTTAAGGTATAACAATGATGATATTGATCTCTATAATCCCGATACGATATGTTATCTTGGAGTTCGTATACACTTAAATATTTATTTATAAAACACGGAATACCGGTAACTATTTTAGCAAAACATGCAGCGTAACTAAAGTCAACAAACAGAAACTGAACTCTGCAGTATGTCCATAAAATTGTGTAAGACAATAAATATCTTTAACTTTGTTTTTGATGTTCTTGTCATTAACGATTTTCTTCGTGGTATTTTTGTCGTATTATCGTAATATTGTACTTAGAGACACGAAAATAATTATCGAATTATATCGAATGATAATTGTACTCTGTATTGATGGTTTATTATCTTGTTATTCTCGTGTACTGATATATATTATTCTAATTACTAAAATTTAATCTTGTAGTTTGAAAGTTAATTTATTTATCAACAAAAAGAAGATCGATTATTTGATTCTTTAGAGCTTTCTCTTTTTGTGCATCTTTTTATGTGGGTTAGATCGTAAAACGCGGTATGAGAACACAGAAGACAAAACGAATATATCGACAAAAATTTGAAGGAAATACAAAGGTAATGGTTTATTATTTCGCACTAAATGTCAGTAAAGATGCTACTTTGTAGCTCACCCAATAAAACAAGATGTATAAACAATCCTTATCTGTATTATTAGTTAGTAGTGTTTTTTTTTCATGTTCGTGTTAAGCGCATAGTGGTCTCCCATAATATGCGCTCTATAAGTCGACCATTATTAGACCTATTATTATTATTATTGTCATCTACAATTTAAACATTGGAAAAATTCAAAATGAATTTATTTATTTATTTATTTATTTATTTATATATTTATTTATTTATTTATTTATTTATTTATTTATTTATTTATTTATTTATTTATTTATTTATTTATTTATTTATTTATTT